ATACCAAGGTGCCTTCCTCCAGTAGAGTATGGTGAGCAGTAAAGACTGCTGAGAATGAGGAACACAGATCATGCAAAGGATGATATAGGGCTTCCCTGCTTGCTTAGGGAGACTTGCAACTTCTCCCTTGTGTTTGTAGAGGTGTTCTTTTTTGTTGAGAGTTTCTGTAAGGAAGAGACTTGGAGACTTGGATACCTTCTATTTATACAAAGTTAGATGATCACCTGCAGAATCTGTTTATCTCCCAAGAAGTGTGAGAATTTTCAGAACAATTCTGCAGCTCACTACCCAGGGATACCATTGTGCAAAAGTGGTAATAAAGAATGATCTTTTCATAATGAAAAAGACAAAACAATCTGGGCAGCAACTTGGAAGGAAACATAGTGTTCTGAATTTTAATGGCTTGTTTAGTATCAGAGAGCCAAGGAGATTTTTTTCTTCTACTGATACCAGAACTGAAGGAGTGAATTGTAGTATTAAAGGGGTAACGTTGGTATTGAGAGGACGGTTTTGAAGTTCAGTTTTATTTTGCACAGGGACATCTCTAAATTTGCCATGCATTACATCATAGAAGAAATAGATGAAGATACATCCATGGAAGATTTGCAGAAAATGATGATAGTAGCTCTCATCTACAGGTTATTAGTCTGCTTCTATGAGGTAAGTACTCATAAACACTAACTCTTATAATTAATAGTTGTCAGTTGCTGAAGAAATGGTTTAAAAAAATTCTGTCACCATAGACCTATAAAGTAAATCCTCTTTACAGTATTTTGGATTATGTTGAAGCTTATGACATCCACGTAGTTTTGAGGATAACCAAGTTTGCTACACCTGTCAACCACATGGTGGTGTGTGGAATTGAAATAACCTTTCTTTTACAGATAATCTGTATTTGGGGAGCAGGTGGAGCAACCCCAGGGAAATTCTTACTTGGACTGCGAGTTGTGACATGTGACACATCTGTACTTATTGCGCCCAGCCGAGTGTTAGTCATTCCATCCTCTAATGTCAGTATGACAACGTAAGTGCTCTTGGCTCGGTCACGTTGCACTCAGACTAATAGTGTTGAAAGCATGTGATTTGGGAGGAAATACACCATTGCTTTATTGTTGACCTTTGCAATAATTAGATTGCAAGAGCTATTGTCAGATTATGGGATCTAAGAATAAAATGGTAATTATTGAATCACATTGAATGTTTTTCAGTTTAGGTGGTACAATCTCCTCTAGAGATTGATCTTTGTACCATGTAAAACTGAGGCGCTAAACTTGGAAGTTAATTACTAACATAAGCAGAAAAGTGAAAATAAGGCACTGAGTGTTCTATTCTCATTTCAGGTCCACAGTACGAGCTTTGATCAAGAATTTTTCTATTGCATCATTTTTTCCTGCATTTATTACACTGCTGTTTTTCCAGCACAACAGAACAGCCTATGATATTGTAGCAGGAACTATTGTGGTCAGAAGAAATGGAGTCAGATGATACCAAAAGATGAGATTTCCAGACTGGTTCTGAAGATCCCCTCCCACCCCCAGAGAATAAAGACCTACCCCAGAACTGAAATTGAGGTGTCTATTGGAATCTTTTGCCCTAATTAAATGGGAACTGATTCAGAAGCTAAAGAAAATGTATGGCTCCTGTATGATGCCAGCAGCTACCTTCAAAATACTGGAGTTTTCATAGATGCCAAAGAAGTTTGGGAGAGACAATATGTATTAAATCTGGGAGTATTAACTTCTGATTGATGAGACAGAAAGTGGCTGCTTTAACTGCAGAAAGGAGCTGTTCTGTTCATCAGTCTGTGGAAAGCCGATACCTAGAAATATTCCACCTTAAAAGAAATGTCGCTCCTACAGTTTTGGATGTTGGCAGGTAACTAACTAGAAAATCAAGTTGTTTTCCAGGCCATTGCCTGTCAAAGGATAAAGGAGGAAGAGAACTGCAGTATTAGACAGCAAGGCAAATCATGTTAATTAAATTGCCATGTGTGCAGAAAGAGAGATAGCAGTGGTTATCATGTTTTTTATAATTGCTTCACAGATCATATTTCCTCACCTTTTAAGTATTTTATCACAATGTTAATGTGAAAAGTTTTTTGCATGACTGTCTCAAGTATTGTCACTTACTTCAGTTGTCCATGCTAAGGAAGAGGTGAAACAATAGCTACTTTTTTCCTCCGGGAAGGGTATGTTACACTGCAGTGTTAGTGAACCGGTGCGTGTAAATAATTTTGCAGCCATGAACAGTACAGATCATGCTAATGAAAGGTAACTTTTTTTGCTTCTGTTTGGAGTGAAAGCACTTGTCTATTTCTTGCATATAATGCAGAGCAAAACAACTGAATATGTTCCAGAAGCATGCAGAAAACATTAACTGAAATGTGTTATGGGTGTAAATCTGCAGAAGTACAAATACTGGTTATTCTCACTTTATCATTCTGGCTAATTGTTTGTATATTCAGAATAACTTAAATACTGAATAAAGAAGCCTAATATTTTGCATGACTACATAGCTTGGATAGTTGGTTTGTTCTCATCTTATTAGTATCTTGGGAAATGAGTCTTACCAGCAATGTTGATGTTTTAGTAAAATTTGAGCAAGTGTTTGGAATTCTTCTAGATGCCAGTTTTTGTGTGTTCCTCCCATAGGCCTAACTTGCCACTCAGTGGCTGAAGTTCTTGCCCTGCCTTCAGTTTTGGACAGTGGTTTCATTAACAACAGACATGTTTGAGAGCTTGGTTCTCTCTTGTCTTCAGGTGAAATAACTTAAAAATGTGTTCATATTCTGCAATACTTTTGTTTGACAAGTCATGTTGTTCTGTGTATGAATGTACTGTGTATGCGTTTCAGTTTTCATTTGGAATGATGAATCAGGACTGGATCCAGTGCTGAATAGTGGGAGAATGAAATTTTCACCTCTCCAGAATGAAGCCGCTAACTATTTAGATAACTACTTTTAAATATTTATTTTTGAAGTTAAAAAAACGTTGTCTTGGCTAGAAAAGTTTTGTGTCCTTGCTCAGACAGGGTATCAGTATCAAAATACCTCATACTTTTGAGGGTTACTACTGTTTTACACTAATGATTTATCAGCAAAAAAACTTTGGCATCTTAAGTGTACCATTAGCATTAATGATCGTGACATCCATCACTGAAACAAAAACGTCTAAGTACTAAATGGCAATAAGCAGGCCTCAGGAAAGCACCCCCTTGTTGCTAGACCACTTGAACATGTTAAGCTGAAACAGAATTTCAGAGATACCACTTAACTATTCCTAGAATCATAAAATCGTTAAGGGTGGAAAAGACCTCTCAGATCATCAAGTCGAACTGTCAATGCAGCACCACCACCATGTTCACCATTAAACCATGTATCGAGTGGCAGTCACGTTTTTTGAGCGCTGCCAGGGATGGTGACTCCACCACCTCCATGGGCAGTCTGTTTCCATGCTTGTCAACCTTTTCCATTAAAACATTTTTCCTAATGTCCTGTCTAAACCTTCTGGGGCCAACCTGAGGCTGTTTCCTCTTGTCCGGTCACTTCTGGGAAAAGAGACAGACCCCCATCGGGATACACCCTCCTTTCAGGTAGTTGTAGAGAGCAATAAGGTCACCACTGAGCCTCCTTTTCTCCAGGCTAAACACCCCAGCTTCCTCAGCTGCCCCTCACAGGACCTGTGCTCCATTCTTTCAAAAAATGTTGACTTAAGCACTGATGTCAGGCATGGCAATCAGCCTGATGAAAACTAAAGCTGTCAGAAATAACCAAAGCCCCTTCCAGGGTGAATTTTACCTATTCACAAAAAGAAGTTTTTTGTTCTATTTATTGTAGCAGTGACCTAGAAACTAGGATTCAAGATATGGAGAGAGGGAAGGGAAAAGCAATACCATTGGCTAACTTCATTGCTACCAACTCAGATATAAGGGAAGGTTTATCTTACCCTGCAGAAAAATACCACCCCTTCCACAGCAGGTACAGAAAACAATTAATGCAAGAAGACAGAGCCTGTCCATGGAAATATGTATATTATGCTGTTGGAAATGCTTTTAGTTTGTCTCTTATGCAAGCTGCAGTGAAGATGCCACCTTTTTCTGTTTGCAGGATGAGTGCTGGGCCAGTGATTCATTGCTAAGGGGGAAAAGTGAAATCTGTGACATTTTTCAGGTTTAGACAACTGGAAATATGTAACTGCATATAATCCTTTCGCAGCTCCAGTGGCACAGTATGACTCTCTGGATAGCAGTGTTTGTGTGTGGTTTTGAAGTCTAGTTGCTGAGTATCTTCTGTTTCTAGAAACAGTGACTGGAGCTTTACACATGAAAAGGGCAGTTGGCCTTTGTCCTGCTGTCAAGTCCAGCTCGTGCTTAGAAACTCATCTCACTTTGTACCCTCGGCACCTGCAGCCGTATAAGGGGTGAGCCGTGTTCTGGTGAAGGGCAGCAGTGCCAGCAAAGGCCTCGGCCCTGCCTCTGAAGGCATTTACAGCACAGACAGTTATGCAGATCTCCTCTGTTCTAGCTGAAGGAAGAAACTGTATCTCAGTCATACACTGAATGCTGTGACTTGGTACAAAGTTCAGCTGTGGGTCCCCAGATGAACAAGCATTTCCTTTGATTTTACTAGAATAATGTTTGTTCTCCAAGAAGTTCCTTTAACTGCTACAGAAGTGGAGACCCCTAATTACTCATTTATAATTGGGAGTACCTTTTCCTCTTCAGTTAGAACAGTGGTGAATGTAACATTAACTTTTTTTTTTAATAGCATTATAAAAAAATGAACTGCAGTCAGCTGACACTGATAAGCTGCTCTAAGCTTCAGTCTACAGTAAAACTCTCCTTTGTAACAGGAGACCTTTAACTTATTTAAGATCCTCTAAAATCAGTGACACTGTGAAAAAGCAGAGGTTGAAGAAAGCGTGTTACATTGCTCAGGTTGATGTAACCATCTCATACAGTTACAGCTCCAGATGCCTTTATGGAGAGTTAAAATTGCCAGATCATATTTCGCAGTTTTTATTGATGGCATTTATCCCATGGTTTAACATGTTAATTATACTGTAATAAACATGGCTTTAATATTAAACTTTTCCTTATTATCCAAAGTCACCACAGTCCATTTCAGTAAATATAAAAATATATACTTAATACTTTGTACAATACTGGTTTTTGGTCCAAACAAAAATGGATCAGAAAAGCCAATAAACTTACTTTAAGAATTCCCAATTTTAAAGATTTTCTAAATGGATTTAGGCAACTTTGAATAATGAGATTTACATAAAATCTGAGACAATACTAAACAAAAATGGCCGTAACACACAAAATTAAAATTTCAATTTCACAGATTTGTTATGCCAAAAAAGTACATAGAGAAACAAAATTGTATTTACACATGTTTCATAATAAAATAACAAGGCGAGACAGGTGATAAAGGGCTGTAAGAATGAAAATATAGAAATAGCATATAATTATTAAATGAAGAACTACAGATCTAACAAGTCCTTAGCATGGATCATCCTTAAATCAGTCTTCCTCTATCAGAAAATTTTAGTGCACGATACACCCAAACTCACTCACTTCACACATACACCAGCACAAACTCAGCATAGAAATCATTCGTTATCAACATTCTCTACTCTATACAGCATCCCTCGCTGATATAATTACAATTTCGAGGCGTCAGTAAACGCGAATGAGCGCACGTAGTGGTGCGGATGAAGAGGTATTGTACAAGCCATTCACTGTGCAGGCTCTACTCAGGGCTACAGCCAGACCATGCCAAGTCAGTGAAAGAAGTAACTTGAGACTTTTGCTTGAGAACAGCCTTGTTGCCAACTTTACTTGCTACCGAAAAACGTAACAGGGAGAGGGAAGGGAAGGACAGGAAAGCTAGGTTTTATATTCCTTTAGGCAGATCTGACTTCCGACAAGCCAGCATGAGGTACAATCCCAATAACTGAACAATTCAGGATAGCAGCTGAACAATTCAGGGTAGCAGCTGAACAATTCAGTCAGGGTAGAAGCTGAACAATTCAGAGTAGTAGCTGCTTCCAATGTTTTTGATGTTTTACCAATCAGGCGTTTACTTTCTACGTCTAACTGCATGCTTTATCTTCCGACCAGGAACTGAAGGTCCAGAGGCAGAGAAAACATTTTTCCCATTAGTCCTATCAAAAGAAATTAGTAGTTCAGAATTTAGGACAGTGTAGCTGAAAATTCAGTAGCAGCACTGAGAAGATATTCCAGAACAACTGTTTCATAGTCTTGTCTCACTAGTTACCAGCTGGCAACAAACGGCAAATGATGAACAGGAGGAAGAGAGTTCCAGAAACCAAAACCAATTAAATCTCCCTTATTCAGAAGGTAAGCAGCAGCATAATGGCTGGATACGGATTTTACCTTTCAAGAACAAGACAATCTCATATGTGTTGATGTGTGATATTCCTGACAGCTAGGCTCCTTTAAAGATACCGTTGCTTAGTTAGCCAGTCAGGCTAATACAAGGAAGGGTGCCAAATTTAGTTTCAAACTCCAAGGTTCATCTGAACACCTCAAGATTTAACAGCAGTAGAGGCTGAACACTGTCCACTGATATTACCCGAAGCTCAAGTGAAATTCTGATACGGTCTCTTACCCCAATGTAAATGCTGCAGGCTGGCTGAACGAAAATCCTGAAGTGCCAGAAGGCTGTGCAGGAGCTGCTGGTGCAGAAGGATTTGCACTAAAAGTGAATACTCCTGGGCTATTTGGAAAGCTGAAATTAGCAGTATTACTTCCAAACTGGAATACAGAACCTGGGAAGATGGGGTGGAAGCAGAAGCAAGTAAGAGAAAGTTGAAATTTGAGTTCATCCTTTCCAGCAAAATCCTCATGTTCTTCCCCACTATCTTTATAAAAAATTTTTTTACAGGTTGCTCAAGATGACAAAGTTGTGGGAGTGGCACCTGAAGTGCCAGATCACTACAGGAACAGTATGTATGGAATGAATCCATTGACTTTAACAGAGATTGAGGAATTCTTATAGTAATACTGCTGGCACACTGATAATGAATTGTTCTCTAACTTGTGTGCCATCATAAAGTTTATACCTATGCAAACTGAAGTTTATTAATAAAGTCTTAAACTGTAGCCTGGAATCACGTAGATTTATATTCAAGTAAACTTTCTTGTGTTCCTGCAGTTGATCTGGGGACTCTCCCTTTCCTTTAATGTGCTAACACAGCACCTCACCTTTAAAAACCCCAAACATTCCTACCATCGAAGTAACTGATAAGCGACACAGACAATCCAGGGAGAATTTTACCTTTGAACTGCTACCTAATTTATGAAAGGCTGACTGAGTAATGTGGTGTGCCAACTAATCTACTGATTAGTACAAAAATATCAGTTACTTATAATGGAGGCTATTTTGTAAAACTTCTGAGAGGAAAAAAGGGAGGCTTTTCCCTTTACATACTTGATGTGATATCAAATACAGATGTTCTGGCTGTTTTTCTTTTTGAATTGTTACTAGTGTGTGGAACAGGTCCTTCTTACACTTAAATACTTTCCCATGGTATTTTATACTTCATTAGTAAAAAGATCTTCTAATATGTCTTAACCCATAAATTCTTAAAAAAACCAAAACAATTCTGACCATATTTTAAACAATGAAGCCTATTGAAGTCAGATAACTAAGGACTACTCTAACAAATCCAAAAATAACAATTTTGCAGTGCTTCTGCCCTTCTGTTTTGCACAAACTTACCAGTGATTACTCCATGGCTTTCAACACTTCCTTTTAATCACTAGGTTTCTCAAGAAAATAAAGCCCAGAATTCGTGGTAGGGTTGCAACCTCCTATCTGCTAAGTCTCTTGTGGAGAAGGCTTACTGTGAAGCTGGATACCTATGGGTACATCATGTCTCCACAGTCAGGAGTGAGACACAAATCACACCCCTATACCCATTATTTTTATGGAGGACAATTCCTACATTTGAATACGAGCGTAATGCCAAAGTCTTCTTTCTGCGCATAATTTAAGGTGTGCTTCATGAAAAAGAAAATAAAATGTATCATCTTTGAGACCAAAAGGGAAGAGGAGGATGGTGGGCACTCACCAGCACTGGGGGTACCAGAACCAAAACCTGGCTGTTGGGTTGCCTGCTGTCCAAACACAGAGGGCTGAGTACTGCTTGTCACTGAGCCGAAGGCAGAAGGAGCAGGCTGAGTGCCAGCTGAAAACAACGTTGACGACAGCGATCCAAAGCTTGGAGCGCTTGGCTGGCTGGACCCTTGGCTCGGGCCAAATGCTGGTGGCTGACTGGCGCCAAATGGTGGGCCAGCAGCAGGCGCTTGGGGCCCAGAGCCAAACGGAAACAAAGATGACGACCCTTGGGGAACAGAAGAAGGATGTCAGTCAGTATGTGCCATTTCCCTCCCACCCTCAAGAATGAATCTAGAAACAAAGGGTTCTAAAACCCCAAGTCTGGTAGCTCAATCCTCATTTTAATCTCAAACTAATTGTGTGGATATATAAAGCAAATAGTACATCAGCCACAAGAGGAATTGCACCTTTTAAGTAATATGAGAAACACTATGTTTATCAGAATCAGACAAAATTAAATCTCAAACACACTGGTTGCCTCTTTCTTTATGTTCTACGAATGAATTCCCACAAATGGTATGATTTAATCTGTATTTACTAAAAACAGTTTCTACCACACACAGAGAATATTCACTCAAACTGTATTTTTCAAACATGCAAAATACAGCTCCTGATTTATTAGAACAACAACATGCATCTCTCTTCTTGTCAGCAACTGCACCTCTCCCCTGTCCAAGTGTTTACCATTATCAACTTCCGGAGGTCAAATGATGCTTGCAGTGATGATCTCTGTACTCAAAAATTTGGTTGACCAGAGTAACTTCTCTACCTATCATCAACAAGCAGCCCAACTGTTCAGCTGCTTCAGTTCTGCATGGCCAGCAGAAATAATGGAACAAAAATGAAACTCAGCTGAGCAGTGACTCTGAATGTACGTGGTGGATGTGCTATGCAGAAAGGACATTTTATCAGCACTGCTAGTGCAATCTGAACAGCTCTCATGCAACAGGAAATACCCTCTGTTGCACCATAACTTGGAATGGTTTTATTTCCAAGATGAACAGATACACAGCAAAATAAAGGCTTCTGCGTTTGTGAAGATGTTTGAAATATGGTGTCACCTACTAACGAAATGACACTAAAAGTTACTGATTTGTGAGCAGGTTAAATCAATCTGTTGGGTGTTATAATTTTGGACTGTTTTCTCTCTGTTTCTGAAACATGAAAAAGTGTGCAAATTAAACTTCTGTGACTGACAAAGTTAAGCCATCAGATCAAACTAGATTAAGTCTTTCCCTCACAGGTTCAATCTTATTTCCAGCATACTCTGTGGCTCACAGGAATATGGAAAATTTAGTGGATTTTGTCTTGTGTCATACTGCTTCATGCATTTATTCATTTAAATCATGCAGTGGCGTAATGAACATAAAACATTAAGAAACTTTGTATTTCTTATTGCTCTCTTTTCTAAGATATTATTGCTAGATAATTAACAAACACCAGCCATGATCCTTAGTAAAACCCAACCTTTAAGCAGCAGTGATTGCAGTTAGAGGAAATGCATTTACATATACTTGTGAGGGGGAAGGACTTTGCAAATCTTGACATTATTTACAACAGTTGAGAGTTTTAGGTATGGGAGAGAAAAATCAGGGACGCTGATACACTGACTCTTAACTGTAAGCACTGGACTGACAGCAAGAAGAAAGAAACTATCATTCGTTTTCATGGGGAAAAGCTCCTATACAAGCTGTATTTCTCAGGCTAGAGAAGAATGAGCCCAAATTTATATTGCTGAATATAAATACTACTAGTTTTCCCTACTTCCATGCATTTGGCCTGCACATTTTCCAAAGTAAAATATTCATGAAACAGGATCTCCTTGGTCCACTATGTAATGGCAAAAATGAGAAAAGCAGAAGAGCATCTATTGAAAACATACCTGTTGAACTCGATGTAGTTGTGGCTCCAAAAGTAAAGCCTGAATTTGCTGCATTGGTGCTGCTCTCTCCCGAACCAAACAGAAATGGAGTAAGAGTCGAGCCAGTGCTGGAAGATGTGGTTGCTGGTTTGTTTTCTTGAGAGAAGCCAAATGACTGAGATGTTGTAGATTCTGCAGGATTGCCAAAAACAGAGCTGGTCACAGTGTTGCTGGGTTGTCCAAACACAAAAGGAGTGGGAACTGGCTGAGGATTTGAGGAAGAGAGGGTGCTGCCAAACACGCCGCTGCTGTTGGCTGAAGTGGTGGGTACAACTGTGCTGGAGGAACTAGAGCTCAAGAAGCTGAAAGATGCTCCTTGTTCTGAAAGGAAGAAACACAGTTAATAAGTCACACAAATGGAATTTAACAACCAAGAATTTTTCACACAGTGATAATCAATGAAGAACTTTAATCCTCCACTGCAGACTTTCAATAAATCAGAGGAATACAAAACTGTGTAGTATCTATGAAGTGATTTTTGTACCTTTGTAGGAGTAGAGAAACTCCAGTATTCCCTGTAGCACAGCTGCAAGTACATGGAACTAAGATATTCCCTCTCTCCTTCCCTTTTACTATAAAAAACAACACTAGTATGAGGCCTCTATACTGCACCATGTTATAGATTTTATCACCAGCTGAGCTGCTGTTACTGAGACAATACAACTTCTGTGCTTATACCTTATACAATAAGGTTCCCTAAGGTGTGGCAATTCTTCTGTCTAAACATAGTGTTGAAACTCATTGAAATCAATAAAGGAATTGCCACATATTGTCTATGCATCAACAACCGGAACTAAAGACAGGCTGCAGGTAGTATATAAATCCCACAGATTTTGTCCAGTACAGCCTCAGAGCTATTATTTGATAGACATGATCAGACAAGTGAAGGCAAAAGATGTTCTGTTTACCGCAAGTACTGGTTTGTGCCCCAAATGCAAAAGGTGGCTTTGTCTGCTCACTTTCCTTTTCCGATGGTTTACCGAAACTAAAATTGAATACAGGTTTTGCTGTGCTCTCCTCTTTGGTATGCTCAGCTGTCCCAGATGAAAAGATAGGTTGTGCCTTCAACTCTTCATTGTCAGATTTCTTTCCAAATGCTAATGGACCAGCAGAAGTGACAGAGTCCTGTTTCTCTTCTGCCCTTCCCAAAACAAACTGTGAGGCAGGTGCAGACTCCACACTGCCAAAAGAGAAGCCTCCCTTCGTTGAAACAGTTTCATCCTTTTTCTCATCTGACTTCTTAAATGGCAAAGCAGATGATGCTACCTCCTTTTCTGCCACAGTTCCAAAAGTGAAGCCACTGACTCCGGTCTTATTCTCACTGGTAGCTATGGAAGAAGTAGAACTTGTGCCAAAACCAAAACCTCCCAAAACTGGTTCCTCTTTCCTTTCCTGTTGCCCCAGGCTCGTTGTTCCGAACTGAAATGTTGAAGGGGCCTGACTGGTTGTAGATGGAAGTCCAAAGGTAAAATTGTTACTTTTACTTTCTTTTTTACTGTCTTCTGACTTAGAGTCTGAGGAAGAAACTCCAAATTTGAAGTTTCCTGAACCAGTAGGAAACTTAAATCCCCCAGTCACAGTGTTGGACGATGCAGATTCAGATGCAATCCCAAACTTAAAGCTACTTTGTTCTCCAAATTTAAAATTTCCTGTGCTACCCAAAGTTTGAGAAGATTCAGAGGATGACGATGGGACACCGAATGTAAATGATGGCGTTGCGGCATTTGTAGACACAGCAGCAGTATCAAAACCTGCAGAAATAAAACAATATCAAGTTTGCAATATATGATGCACCCACACACACATACAAAAAACAAATAAGGAAACTCCACGCTCCCTCTCTGCACAGATCTTTTCTCAATGGTGCTCTTCTGTCCAGCACCTGGTTTAGAAAAGCACTCTGCTAACTTCTTTGAAAGACCATGGTTTTAGTCTAAACTCCAAATGAACAACATGTAAGGCTCGTAAAGGACAACTATGTCACTGATATAAGCTTTTCTCTGAAAAAACATAACGTTTTTCTGGGGAATGGGTGTGGAAATGTAGGCACTGTACCTTATTTAAGCAATATTCCTAGATGAAAAAACAGACAATTTTGTCATACCTCAAAGGAAAAATCACTCTACTTAGAAAAATAAATTGCAAATTGCACACCCTTGTTTTAACTCATAAAGTATTACCTTTGAGCTCTGCTTTGGTGTCTGGCTTTGCATTGTCACAGGCTATGCATTTTGTGGCTTCTGCTTTGTTTTGGACCAAGCAGACCTCACATTCCCAGCTTCCTTCAGGCCTCTTGAATTTGTCTAAATCCAGAAAACCTCCAGAAGAAGCAGAAAAAGCAGAAACACTGCCACTAGTCACAGGCACTGAACTCCCTGAGAAAGAAGCAAAATAGTTAATCATCCTACTTAAACTATAAAGTGAACATGAATCACATTATAGTGATCTATAACATCTCCAATGCTCACTAAATTGTAAAGCACACAAGCATAACAGTAAAAAACCATCAAGCTACAAGTTAATTTCAAACACATTCTGAGAATGTAAACAATAGAAACATCTGCATTCTTCGTTGCAATTTATAAATGATTTTAAGCACAAATTGAACCAGTGACATTGAAACAGCAACTGCAGTTCATAAAATACAGCAACATGGCCTATTTCAGATGTAAATTACAGGTATTGCATCAGAGCTGCTAAAAGAATTTCTGGTGACACAAGTAACTGGTAGTCAAAGTTAGCATCACTCAAGTTAATGATCACTGTCAAGTGATGAAAGGCTGACAATTTACTAGAATGATTCATTAGCAAGTCACAAAGACAGGAAACATTCAAAACTACACAGTGACAAAAGAAAAAAAAAAAAAAGGAACTCAAAGCTTCCAAAGCCACAACTCTGTTCACTACAGAAGCTACACTGTCTTCAAGAGCAGCAGAAACAGGTTGCCGAGGCACAGAAGACAATCTTGCCTTCAGATTTTTTGTTTCTGATTTTTATCCCCCTATGAGATGTCACTTGTTGCTGCACCCCAACAGCAAACTTCAGCTCCACAGTGTGAGGAGTGAAGCAAACACCCAGAAGGCATAAAAGCATCACATAATCATCAGCTACAACTTCAAACCACTGAGGGTGGCATTTAAGAGAGAGGCAGAAGACTGTCTCAAGTTCAAAACATTAAAGACAGGAATGGGTCTTCTGTTCCACAGCACACTCAGAGAATTTATATTCACGCATCTTACCTGCCTCACTCATCCCCTTGACAGACATAATATAACTGTGCAATTCTCTGTGCCACGGCAGTCATGGCAAACCCCTCAGCCCTAAAATTCTTCCTTGCAATGGCCAGAGTCTTGGACAACTGGCCAATAGTGCCAGCTGACCACTCTGAGGCTGGAAGTCCATGAGAACAAGCTCTAAAATGCATTACTCTTAGCTCAAGAAATTCCACTCTTACTGCACAAAAGCACGATCTAGTCCATCGTGTATTAATTGCCCCCCCTGATGTATTTGCAAGGATGTTTTTGACATTAAATGATGTTAAGAGCCAATGAAAATTAGTGCTAAAATAATTATCTGTGGTTTAAAAAAGAATAAATTCACTCAATACAGTTACAATCACATATAATAGGAAAAAAAACAGAGCTCAACTAAAGAAGGCACCGGCGTCCCCAAAGTCTGTAAGGACCCCGACCTCCCCAAACAAGGTCACACATGCTCTGGAAGGCTACCATAGCCTTCACAGGCATAGCTGAACATATGGTTTTGTTCTAGCTTAAGACAACTAGTTAAAAAATACACTGTCTTGGAATCTGGCTTCATACCTCTGCTCAATTACACTCAAATGCTGACTGGAGACATTTTTAGCCATGTTGTATAAATACTGTTTCTACTTAGTTTTGAAAGAGAAAAAAAAAAAAAAGCCCAAGAAATCCAGTAGTTTTTAACTCTACGGAGTTCACATTTTTCCCCAATGAAAGGGAGTCAACAGGTTTTAAGTTAATTAAGGCATCCATTTTAGTCATCTTTCCTCACCAGCCGTAAAGCAGGGTCAGCTCTGCACTAATACATTTCACAATCAGTTCAACTCATGTGACAGACTGGAATCTGGGCTGAGACCTCCAAAGTGCCTGCAACCATTCCTGCAGAGAGCCACTAATCCATCCTGTCTGGCGTACAGCCATGCTGCTGAAAATATTTTTTAGATGCAACGTATTTTGTTCTGTATAGAATGCACAGAGACCGAGATTGAAACAACTGAGAAGAAAAGGACAAACCTGCTTTGTCGGACTGACAAGCTACACATTTGGTGTCTTCTGCCTTATTTGATACAAGGCACACTGAACAGTTCCAAGAGCCTTTTGGCTGTTTAAATTTGTCTCCAAATCCCAGAGTGACTGTTGTGCCGGCGCTGCTGGAGGAGGATGTCACTGTCACCGAGTTGTCTGTGACCATTGGCATTGTCAGAGCAGGCATCACTCCCGTTCCAGGCTTTGGTGTCTCACATGCTATACATTTTGTAGCTTCAGGTTTGTTCTGGACCAGACAGGTATCACAATCCCATGTGTTGGGTGCTGGTTTAAACTTGTCTTCAAAGCCCAATGTCCCTGCTGTAGGGACTGTTGTCTTAGAGGAGACACAGTGACTTACACTTATCGTCTGTTTCGTACTCTCAACAGTTGACAGTTTAGCAGCTTCACATGTTACACATTTTCCATCTGTGGTTTTGTTCTGCAGACATGGGTCATATGTGTCAGACTGCCAAAACGAGGATGCTTGTTTAGAGGTGTCTTTACCTGCAGAAAAACTACTTATTGCAGGCCTTGTATAGACGACTGTGCTTGTAACAGGCTGTGCAGATGAACAGGAGGGTGTTTTCCCAGACATAAAGCCTAAAATAATTAAAAATTAAAATAATTAAAAAATTAAAAATTAAAAAATTGAAAAAGAGAGATCTTAGTGATAAAGCAGTACCCTGCTGCATGTAAGTTACTTATAATACTAGACAGCATAAATTTAAACAAACTGTCAATGGTCACAACTATACATTCCAACCAACCACAAGAGGAAGTCCCTGGAAATCTTATCTAAAGGGATGAAATTTCATATGCTGTGCTGAGACACAACATAACATTTCTTTAAAGCTTGATTTAACTCTTCATTTCCAAGGAAGTTTTAAATACAAATCTCCTTAGTATATGCCACTACAGTGGTAGATACAAGTGTGAACAAACAATACTGAAAGCTGACTGTCATGGACTAGAAATAATCCAATTTCATTTTAAGACACCATGTCCAATCGAATCAAATTTCTAAAGCTATTTCTGTCGTAGTAGATGACTCACATTTACTTTGACAGCTGTACAGCAGTTGGTACCTGGAGCAGTAATAATTAATAAAAATTAAGACAACCAAACAATTTTTATCTATAATCTTTGTTCAAAATGCACTGGACACAAGCCAACTCCTTATTTAAAGGTGACAACTTTCCAGAAACAAGTACCACCAATATGGAAACACTAATGAAAATGCTATGGCAATAAATCTTAAATATCAGCACAAATTACTTGTAAAGGTAAAATGAAGCATTTCTTTTTTTATTATTATGTTGTTGTTGCTTTGTTTTTGTTTTTGTTTTTTAGTATCAGAAGTGGAATCTTTGAGCAGTGTGGATTCAGAACCCGCCTCTCCTAAACTGATAAAGAAAACTAATGTCACTTCACTGGTAAGTCTTTCCTTAAACACACAGCATAATTTCTCTCATTTAGCTCTTTCTAATATAAAAAGCCACTGCCTTCTTAAGTAGTATATAGATTTGTCATTTCATAATAAAAAGACCTGCTACAACTCAAGGCTTATGGGAAAAGATCAAATTCAATATAGTCCTTCTTGAAACAAAGTCCATCATCTACACACACGCGCACGCACTTTACTGAACAGTTGAAAACAACTGCAGTTAAAATATTTTTAAGTGGAACAGCCCATTACTAATTAAAATTTACATTTGAATCGATAGTAACTGTTATAATTTAGGGCCAAAAGATTTGCAGCTTTTGAAACATCTTTAGGAATGACATTACCATTCTTCATTTCTGGAGATGGTGAAGGTGGGAAAGGAATGTTCATAAAGCATTTTACAAACATTTCCTTTCCAATTACATAAACGTCATTTATTTAAAACAAAACATTGATTATTTGACTAATTCTTTTATATTTAATTTTCAATTACAACCTAATACATAAGGAGAAACAATGCATTTGGTTTGAAGTTGCAGTTTTCCTTTCAGGAAAGAAAGCCACTTACAATAGAATCAACCCTAACAGGTGCAGCATTTAATGTAATGTTCTCCTGTGTTTGTATTTATAGCTAACATTGCCTGAACTGTGACAAATGAGGGGCTTTTTTTGTTGCTGTTGTCGTGGGTTTTTTAAAAATCAATGCAATGATATACAAGTATATTTTTTGCAATATATTTCTTAAAGAGTTCATTATCTCACCAGGGCTTTTTAGGATGTCTAACACACTTCCTTGCTTTAAGAACTTAGCAGGTTTGCAGAGGCCATCGTATTCTTCTTCCTCTTCCTTCTTATTGCTGGTGCTGTTTACAGTGGTGCTACCTGTAAAAGTAAAACAAAACCCACCTTATACAAAGAAATCCACTTAGTATATATTCACATTTGCTAGAAACAAGAATTTCCATGTTTCATTCGTCTTATATAAGAATCTTCAAAATTCAACCTTGTTTACAACAGTTTGTAGTTACAATTTGGTTAAAAGCAGACCTGTCACTGAAAACACCTTTTGCCTGGAATTTGTAACATGCTCAGAAATGACAGATTACCTATTTCATATACATAAAAAGAGAATCAGCACTAGATTTTAAATGCTAAAATTTCTGTTACCTGGACTAAATAAGGATGTCACTGGCGTATCAATGGATCCAGAAAGCTCTGCTGACTTTGCAACAGGAACACTAAATGTAAACTTAATCTGCTATGAAAAAGAGAGATTTTTTTAGATTCTAAGTAATTTTAATCAAATTTCACACAAATAATAACCTGAAATCCAGTCTTCAAACTTGTGGTGGATGCTGGATAACAAATTACAAGTCAGAAATCTATATATTAGTTTTTCCCCTTACCAGGGCCAATTCTGCTTTATTGTTCTGCAGTATTTTACTACAGCGTTGAGAAAACATTGATCTTTATTTATTTTACTTACAGACAATGGAGGTAGCACTTCCACCTCAGTAGACTTCACAATTGGAGATGAAAATACAAACACGGGACTGCCAACATTACTTGCTGGTTGTACCTGTATTTTCAAAAGAATTAAGGTTTGTATCTAAAAGAAAAACATCCAGGTGAAACAACAGCAGCTACGTGAATTCACTATCTAACAGACATTCTGCAGTGAAGTTGGGAAATCTGATCTTTGATATTTCTAATCCACAGCTAAGAGTTATAAGAAAATGAAGCTTGCAAGTGAGTGTATAAGATGAACAGAAGCCAAATCAAGAACTTTATGCCTCCCTCCCCAGGTCCCAAACGGAACACAACCGCGATTCATTCAACAGGTTATAAACTCATGCTGGTTAGTTCTATGAGCACCATAGAAAAAGTTAACATTCAGCAAAGCAGATGTATACTCATCCTGAAAAAGTGTCCACGACATACAAAGAAAGATTTACCTTGTTCATCGCAGCTTTTGAAACAGTGCTTGGTGATGATGAGACGGCACTACTGGCAGGGAAACTGAAGTTGAACGTCGGCAGTGATGCAGTACTGATAGGTAGGGGTACTTCGGGTAGTGCTGCTTGCTCCACCTCCTAGGTGTACATTTTAATTGTTGTAAATTTCAATTTTTCTTTAGAAGTTGTAAATTTGAATTTTTCACTTCCTTTAGAAAAGCTGTAGATTTTAATTTTCTTCTTTCACAACACATACTACCTTCCTACCCTATCCCACCCTTAATTTCTTAACAAAGTTAAATATAACAGAGAGATTTATAGGCAGAGCAAATTTTTAAAAGGAGTCCTAACTTCCCCACATAAATCTGCCACATCATTTTTATTTATGGCAGCCCTGTTTCCATGCAATACTACATTCATCACCTGTCCAGTAAGAAGACTGAAAGTTAGCTCAAAATTGTTACCTGTGCAGAACAGAGAGGAGCACAGATCAGATTTGTTTTCTGTACTCTAGTTAATAGAGAGACATAACCATTCTATGATGCCCTTATCTCTTCAAATTAAGAGTACAACTTCATGGCAAGTAAGAAAGGTAGGACAAGTAAAATTAGGTAGGACAGCTGCCAAAGTTTCTGAAGTCAATACTGCAGTGAACTTCGAAAAAGATAATGTTTAAAGAAACGTGTGCTCCTTTGAGTACGAAAAAACTCAAACCAAACCATAGCACAGAATGCCAAAAAAGAAAGCCTGACAAACAGCACAGAAGATCATACTCTGGTAAATCTAATCTATATCATGTATCAGGATGCAAAATTTAAAACTCAGAAATCAGTGTACCTTGAGAACTTGTGGTCTTATCCTTGTCTTTTAAGCGGTTTGATTACCAAGACTAGATTAGTTAGGGTTTAAATGGGAATAGCCAATCTAATCACAATTTGCACAGTAGTACCAAGATCTACCCAGAAGCGACTAAGCAGAGATGTACATCACTACTACAGAAATTTAATGTACCCTAAAACTCACATATTTCAGAGATTTCATCTTAAGAGTCTATCACAACCTTGATATTGAGACCATTTCTATTATAAAAACATTCTCCACTATCTACTACTTCTTCATTTTGCATCAGCCAGAAGACTGATTTAAACTTTTTATATTTAAGATCCAGTAGTAGGCAGCTTACATAACAATTCAGTCAGGAAAATAAACTTTGGGATAGCAACAACCATTGTTCCATTAAATGGACTTCTGCCATTAAAACAAGAAAAAAAAATGCCTCCACAACAACTTTGGCTAAGTGCCAAAAATTGTGAATGATCATTAGCAGGCATGCAGAACACTGTCTTCTGCTTCAGGTTCTTGGCCCCTTACAAAACTTAAATATGAAATAACAAAATAAGCAAACTTTCTTTTTCATCTTGGCACTTGTTTCAAACATCATTCCTTTATAAAAACTCTATAAACTTCCACCAAATTTATTCATCCAACTACTAATTAGAAACTTTATAGTACGAAGCATATCCATGATAGTACAACTATAGATTTAAAAAACATAAAACCAAAGCTCAGGCACTTCAAACAGATAACTGAACTGGAGCCTGCTCTGAAAGCCACAGCAAAACACCCACAAAACCCAAGTGACATTGTTATAAATTACTATGAGGCAACGAAACTGGCATACTCAGCTAATTACTTCAGTAATCTCAGAGAGATCAATTAACCTCAGAGACCCTTACCGGCTGTTGTTTTTGTCCAGATTTTGATGCCGAGTATCGTTCTCTTTCCCTCCTCATCTTGCCACAGGCACTATCCATTCTTCCTCCTGAAGACAGACCATTGGACGCAGGAGTATTGGGTTTGGGGTAGGTCAAACTGCTGGCACAGAACAATACATAGGTTGAGGAAGGGGGACAGAAAGAAAAAAAAAAAAAAAAGGG